CGACAGACTGATTAATTGGTAATACGCTACTCAGAAATTGCCTTTCAAACCTGAATGACCTAGATTGCTTTATTTCTTTACACTATCAAAAGAGAATGTTTTGCCACAAAATGAATCATGAACAAAGAGGAGGCCATTGACATGTTTACAATTAGAAAATATCTAAAACCCCTTTACAATTGACTAAAAAAATAGTTAAGAGTAATTGAAACAATTTTTATTTTAAAAGTAAGGAAAAAGCTAATCTAGTTATAGTTAATACCTTAATTGTTATACTTTCAAGATTAGAATGGGAGACTTAAATGCTTAAAACATTTTATGTTATTTTCATTTAAGAGTATGACAAAAGGAATGTGTGACTATCTGGCTATAAATCACTGTCAAGTCACACCCCTCACTCACTGAGATAAAATACAACAGAACAAAAAAGTAAAATAGAATTCCTCGGCCAACACAGTCTCTTCTTAGGGGCTGCTATTATATTTCTGGTTAATGGTAACATATTCTACAAGTGCAAATAAAACATTAGAAATAAAGTATCTTTTTCATTGAATAAGAAAGCTGTTATTTATGTGATCTTAGAAAACTCTGAAAGGAATCTGTAAAACTCATTCATAATTTAATCAAATGTCTTAGTTTTTTTTTTACCCCTTAGTATAAAAGTTTACAGATGAGTTTCATATTCCATCACAGTACGTGGTCTAGTGCATTTCAGAGTATTTGGACATTATCAAAGCTGTCCTTCCCAATGAAAACATTTAAGAAAATGTCAGCACTTCTCAAACAAGTGACATGATATGGAATTACACTTTTGGCTCTCACCTCTTTTAAGTACAAATGTATTATTCACCAAAGCAAAACTATTTCACATTGTCTATTAACAAAAAATTCTCCATTAGAGGAAGCTACAGTATCCTGAAGCTATTTCCCAAGATCTAGTTTAGTAGATACAACTTTGGGCTCTTCTTCTTCTTTTTTTGTTGGTAAGGTAACTTTCCATTATGCACATACTATACCATCATCTTTAGATTGAGATTAGCTGGGAAGTAGCTGCATATTTTTAGTGAGATCACTGATGGCGATGGACCTCTAAGATCACGCTGGTGCTTATGGTTAAATCACATCTAACGTGAAATTCTGAATTACATCCAAAGCTCCAGTATCAAAGCCACACATATCCAACATGCCTCTATCATCTGGGTCTGCAATGGTAAAACCATTTGATGTCATTCCACAAACAATCAGTTTAGCTGGAATATCCATTTTCTGTAAGAAAAGACCCAAAATATATATTAAAAACTTTTATGTAAGGAAAAGCAAACCTCCAAAATTAAAACACTAATATCTTTCCTACAGCTTTTTATTACAAAGTCAGTTTTTTTTTTTGAGTCAGTCTTTCAAGGCCAGAAGAGTATGTGAGCTTTAGAAGAGCTACCACACCTGGCCCATTAGTAACACTTTTTGAAAAACATAGTAAATGAGAATTGAGTATTATTTGGGTGAGAAACCACAGCAGAATTAGTTTTACCTTTCGATACTCCCTCAGAGCAATAGCAGGATGGACACTTCCAGCAAAGGTCTCATTATCAGTGAATACAATGAAGACATCTGAAGCTGTGTTTGTCTTCTGAGCCCAGATCATTGGAAGAGAGCAATCAGTCCCACCTGCTGGGATCTTACTCAGAAAAAAACATGAATAAGAATAAAGACTTAAAAATACTATATTTTACATTATTGTTTTGTTTAGCACCAATATATAGGACTTCCCAAGGCCTGTATATATTTTTTGGTTTTTGTGCTTCTCATGAGAAAATCAAGATAAAACAATTTGTTCTTATAAATCAATACAATGCATGACATCAATATAAAATCATTATACAATACATGTTAAGTAAACTTACTAATTTAAGAAAACTTAATAAAACAGTTTCTTACCTGATTCATAGACATTAAAACTTGTTGTAAGGTCATATCTGTAGTCAGTGGACATGGTACCATTTCATCTGAAAAAGCAACTATGTAAGAATCTTTTTCTGTTCGTGTGACAACCTGAAAAATTCAATGGTAGTAATTTTCAGCAAATTGGGGGGAAACAAATACCATATCTTGAAGTTTATACATCTTTAAAAGAAACACTATGATGTTTATTATTTCTAATGTGTATTACTATGTTTTAGAACTATATAGTCACAGGAGTATAGCTTTCAAAGTATTTTCACAAACTCTTACAAAGAAACTGTCTTTCATAATAATCCTTTGAAGCAAACAGTATATATTCGTATTTTATTAAATAAGAAATAAAGCCACCCCCCTGTCCTTCTAGAGGATAAAATAAATTTTACTTTTATATGTCTTAAAGAAAAAGAAATAAAGCCACAGAAAAGCTTTAAAAAAGAAGCTAAAAAGTTTTGCTTATTCATCTGCTTGCTATTCCACAACAGAGTCAGGACAGAACTGCAGTCTTCTGACTCTTCTTATTAGTGCCATGATTCCTTTTTTGAGACCAGGTCTCACTGTGTTGCCCAGGCTAGTCTTTCACTCCTGGGCTCAAGTGATCCTTCTCCCACCCCAGTCTCCAGACTAGGTGGGACTGTAAGTGTGTGCCATCATACTGGTTTAGGGTTAGTTCCCTCATCTTCTAACTTTTATATCATTAAATAATTTTTCTAAGCATTATCCGCTTCCTAAAAAATACCATTAATACTTAATCTTTTGTTGTAAAAATTAAAATTTCTATTCTGACTATTCTTTAGACATGCTTTTCCAATACACTTAAAAGTTGGCTTTACAAAATTATCTTTAGATACAAAATAAAAAAAGTGCTAAATAAGCTGAAATGACAAAAATAGGTGAATATATACTTTTTTTGAATATATATTTCTTAATCATATCCAACTTTACAGTTTTGCTCCATAGTAAACATTTTTTTAGAGTGGCAAAATTGTCTTAAGTGTTCTCACCATGCACATGGCTGCGGCAACTGTACTAGCATTGAGGACGCTGCCTAAAACTCTTTGGTTCATGGAAGCACTGACATCAACAGCTAGTAAAAAACGCTTTCCAGTTGGCTCAACTGTCTAAAGAGAAAAAAAAAATAAAACAATTTTCAATAAAAGCAATCATAGAAAATATAAGTAGATTAAATTTCTAACAAATCATATTTACTTATCTTACATTCGAAAGACTCTAAGATAAAAGGCCTTCTGATTTTTTGATATACCAGTTAACTGACAACTATTTAAAAATGTTTAGCTCTTACTACAGGTAAAACAAAGGAAATAACATAATGTATTCAATAATTTTATTTAAAGATATAACCATCCTATTTTTTAAATCTTTCCTCATTGAACTGAAATGAGAATTTTGAGCAAGAATTTTTTTATTGTGATAAAATATAAGCAATATAAAATTCACCTTTTTAACCATTTTTAAGTGTACAGTTCTGTGGCATTAAGTACATTCATAATGTTGGGTAACTATTACGTCTATCTATTTATAGAACTCTTTCATTATCCTAAATAGAAACTTGTACCAATTAAGTAATAACTTCCCATTCACAGCTCTCCCTAGCCTCTGGCAACTTCTATTCTACTTTCTGTATTTATAAATTTGCCTGTTCTATATACCTCAAATAATGGAATCATATAATACTTATCCTTTCATATCTGGCTTATTTCACTTAGCATAATGTTTTCAAGGTTTGTTCATGGTGTAGCTTGTATCAAATTTCATTCTTTTGTAAAGCCGAATAATATCCCATTGTACGTATATGCCACATTTAGTTTATCTATTCATCTGTTGATGGACCCTTGGGTTGTTTCTACCTTTTGGCTATTATGAATAAGGCTATAATGAACAATGGTATACAAAAGTATCTGTGAGTACCTGTTTTCTGGATGGTATGGTAATTCTACATTTAACTTTTTTGAGAACTACCAAACTGTTTTCCACATGGACGGTACCATTTTACATTTCCATCAGCAATACATTAGGGTTCCAATTTCTCCACATCCTTCTCAATATTTGTTATTTTCTGCTTTTTTGTTATTAGCTATCCAACTAGGTGTGAAGTGGTATCTCCTTGTGGTTTTGATTTGCATTTCTCTGATTAATGATGTTGAGCATTTTCCATGTGCTTATTACTCATTGGTGTATCTTTGGGAAAAATATCTATTCAAGTACTTTGCCCATTTTTAAATTGGGTTGTATTTTTGCTGTTGAAGTGTAGAAGTTCTTTATATTCTGGATATTAGGCCCTTGTCAGGTTTCTGATCTATAAATATTTTCTCCCATTGTGTAGGTTACCTTTTCTCTCTCAATAGTATTCTTTGATGCACAAAAGTTTTTAATTTTGATGAAGTCCAGTTTATCTACTTTTTCTTTTGTTGCTTATGCTTTTGGTGTTTTATAGTTTTGGCTCTTAAATTTAGGTCACTGATCCATTCTGAACTAATTTTTGTATACGGAGTAAGGTAATGGTCCAACTTCATTCTCTTATATGTAGATATGCAGTTTTCCCAGCATCATTTGTTAAAGGCTGTCCTTTCTCTGTTGAACCATCCTGTCACCATTGTCAAAAGTCAACTGACCATATATGTAAGGGTTTATTTCTGGACAGTATTCTATTTCATTGGTCCGTATGGTTATCCTTTATGTCAGTACCATACTGTTTTGATTACTACAGCTTTGTAGTTAAGTTTTGAAATTGAGAAGTGTGAGTCCTCAAACTTTGTTCTTCTTTTCAAGATTGTTTTGGCTATTCAGGGTCATGTGATATTTCTTAAGAATTTTAAAATGGATTTTTCTATTTCTGCAAAATATGCCATTGGGATTTTGAAAGGGATTATGTTGAATCTGTACACTGATTGCTTTGGATAGTATTGTCATTTTAATAATATTAAGTCTTCGAAACTATGAACATGGATATCTTCCCATTTATTTATGTATTTTTTTTTTTTTTTTTTTGAGACAGAGTCTCACTCTGTTGCCTGGGCTAGAGTGCCGTGGCGTCAGCCTAGCTCACGGCAATCTCAAACTCCTGGGCTCAAGCGATCCTCCTGCCTCAGTCTCCCAAGTAGCTGGCTACAGGCATGTGCCACCATGCCCAGCTAATTTTTTCTATATATATATTTTTAGCTGTCCAGATCATTTCTTTCTATTTTTTAGTAGAGATGGGGTCTCGCTCTTGCTAGGCTGGTCTCGAACTCCTGACCTTGAGTGATCCACCCGCCTCGGCCTCCCAGAGTGCTAGGATTACAGGCATGAGCCACTGCGCCTAGCCCTATTTATGTCTTCTTTAATTTCTTTCAATAACAGTTTTATAATTTTCAGCTTCTTACATTTATTTGTCTTTTATTCTTTTTGATGCTGTTACAAGTGGAAATGTTTTCTAAATTTCCTTTTTGTATTATTCATTGCTAGTATATGGAAATCCAACTGATGTTTTTATGTGTTGGTTTTATATTCTGCAACTTTGCTGAATTCATTTGTTAACTCTAATAATTTTTTTGTGGATTCTTTAGAGTTTTCTACATATGAGATCACAACATCTGACGTCAGAAATAATTTTACTTCTTCCTTTCTAATTTGGATGTTTTATTATTTCATTTTCTTGCCAAATTGCTAGAACTTCCATTACCACGTGGAATCTAAATGGAAAAGGTGGGCGGCCTTGTCTTGTTCCCGATCTCAGGGGAAAAGCTGTCAATCTTGCACTATTGAATATATGATGTTAGCTATGGGTTTTTGTTTTTTTATTTATTCTATGACCTTTATCATATGTTGAGAAAGTTCACTTCTATTCCTAGTTTATTGAGTTTTTTTTTTTATCATGAAAGGATGTTGAATTTTGTCAAATGCTTTTTCTACATCAATTGAGATGATCTTATGGTTTTTGTCCCTTCATTCTACTAATGTGATGTATTACATTGATTCATTTTCATATGCTGAACCATCCTTGCATGCCAGGGATAAATATCACTGGGTCATGGTAGATAATCCTTTTAATTTGCTGCAGAATTTGGTTGCTAGTATTTTCTTGTACAGCAAGAAACTTTTAAAACCAAAAATTGTAACTTATGTCTCTGAAGTGAGATTGCCATTCCTAAAAACTCACTTCCTATCAAGATTGATGAGATCTATCTGCCAATTAATGGGAAAAACAGAGGACAAATACCAAGTTAAAGGACCCCATGGGAATGCAAATTTTTAAATTTGTAATTTTAAAATTATCCAAGGGATCTGAAGGGTAAGAAGAAATACTTTACTCATAAACTTACAATGTTAATAATATACGACCTCAAATTAACTAAAGAAAAACAAAGAGTATCCAAAGAGTAAACCATAAAAAATGGTTAAACTATTGATGCTACCTTTAAAATGTATTTTTACAAAAGATATTAAGCACTGAGTCATTTGTTTTAAAACAAAAATCAAACCATTACCTTAAATGTTTTATAAAAAGCAGCATCCAGAGCTTTCAAAATTTCTTCAACAGGGCGCCACTTCAGTTTTCCTCTGAGCCCATGACCTGTCTTGTACGTTTCTAATGCAATTAAAACATGAAATGGATGTATACGAGCCTAGAAACAAAGAAAAAGTAAATGCAAAATTCCAGTAAAAAATAGTAATTATGTGTCTTCATTAGATTTTTATGTTATTGTAGCTAACAAATACATTTCATAAAAAACGAGAAAAATAAGGATGTATTAAACTTAGATTTAAGAGTCAAAATACAATGTGGTATGATAAAAGTCTCAGAACATCTAAAATATGCGCTGACTGCATTTCCAAAATTTAGGAGCCAACTTTTTCAGTTAGCAGTAGTAGCTAACAAAGGGCATTGATAATGCTTACCTTTTTTAACAATTTTTCATTACACAGTTTTTCACAGACTAATGATACTTCTGAATTTCCTGGTTCAAGCACTGAATTTGCAGTCATCTTTCCTAGATTCCTTAGTAATGCAGTAAGAGGCATTTCTTGTAACAAAGCCTTCCACACCTATTGCAATAACGTTGACAGAAATATCAGGAATTAAGGGGAAATGAATCAGTATAACATAACTACATCAATAACATTATATCTCTAAGGCTTTCATTTATGGTTCAGAGTAGTTTCAGAATGAAAATTTATCTTAATTGGTCAAAGGCTTTTCAAATCAGCTAAGTTATTCTTTACTAGCATAAGGATGTGAAGTATATTTTAGGAAGGAAATACGTAGATGATTTTTTTTTTAAATTAGCAAGGCAGCACATTCTCCGGAGCAGAACTAACATTTATGAACGCCAACTACATTAGGGCATCATGTTAGGTGTTTTAAATAAACATTAGTTTTAAGATATATTTTAATTAGTTTCTCTTTTAAAGAATATATAGTTACCCAAAGTTTATCCTTTTAACATTTATAATAACTCATATTTAATCACATGTTGTAACATACAATAATTTACTCACCTCTTTAGACTTTAAGTGATTTGTCAGAAGATGTTCTCTAACTAATCTGTGTTCTTCTATTAGATGAATGACTTCCAGTTCATCTTTTGTGCGCTTCACTTTCTCTACAGCCTCCAGATACTTTAATAATTTTTCAGTCTCCACCGAAAGTGCTTTTTCTTTATACAATTCATGGACTTCTTTCCAGCCCTTTGTAATATATTTAGTTACAATTGCAAGTCCTTTAACAAGATAAAGAATTGAAAAAGCATGTAGGGTTACCAAGTGAAAAACAGAACATGTTTCCTAAGAATGCATCATATGGATAAGCATAACTAGATACACAGGAGTTAACACCCTTAAACTGAGATGCTATTTTCTATGATATAACAAACAAATCTAAGTAAATGGAGGGAATTAATTAATTTTGCTTATTCCATTATTACTGTCTAAATGTGAGACTTTGGGGGAAAAAGCCTTCCTATACCCTAAGTAATTTTATTACAGAGGCTTTTTTCTTTTTTCTTTTTTTGAGATACTAGCATTAAAAACTTTGGTAGACAGTGCCTACATCAGGTTCACAATGTCAGAACTACTCACAAGAGTACAGAGCTATCTCAATTAGTATTGTATTCATTCATCCTTCATTGCTGTTGCATAAATATACATTTACGAACAGCAGAGATAAGTGGAAATGGATGGGTAGGTAGGTCCTTTTTAATTGTGTTTTTGTAGCTGAGAAGTAGTATAAGCCAAATTTTTTTAAAAAAGGAAAGTAGTAATTTGTTCATTTCTTCTGCAATTTCTTCTAACAGAAGAAAGAACTTTGGATTGGAGTTGAGAAAATCTGGGTTCTTATCTACACTCTGTCAAGAAGTGGGTCTTCATTTCCACTTCTGTAAAAGTTGGGGGTCGAATTATCAAATTCAAATGTTTATGAGGGAAAGGTAAGTGAAAATAAAGAAATGAAACAAGCCACGGTGTATAGCAGAGAGTTGTCAGGACTGTGATGAACTGAAGAGAGTAGGCCCTGACAAGTGTTTTAGCCAAGTATTGGCTTAGTGCTGCCAAAAAAATGTATTTTCAAGAGAAGCCAGAATATGGATTTTTATGTCTTGTGATTTTTAAAAATACTGACAAAGAATTAATTTTTTCCCTGAAATATTGAATAGGTCAAATGAAATACATTATCTAAGCCAGACTGAGCCTATGTGTTATTTTTGAACTCTAATTTAAATAATTTGATCAAAAGCTAATATTAACATCCAGGAACTTCTAAAGTATTATGACTCTTGCTATCTTCCAGATTTTGGTACCAATGAAAATAAAAATTCCTTAAAGCAGTTTTATCCACCCAGTTTATAAATGTGCTGGCCACACAGTAGTTGCACAATAATACGAGATTAACTGAATCATATTTTGACTTGTTTTAATCTGTTATAAATATACATTTCAGTTAAGGCATTAAAATGTTACTTATTCTACAGCTTATTTGGAGTTTGTTTCAAAATTCTGTTCACTCTGAGAAGCCAAGGGATTCTGTATGTCCAACATGACATTGCTATTATTAACCAAGTTTCGAGTATGAGTTCTGCTCTCAACAATTTGGAATTAAAGAATCCTATGTGTTAGAGTAAGTTTAGGGAACATCTGCTAATTCCTCATTTTATAAACCAAGAAAACAAAGCACAGATGATTACTTTCATAAGTTCAGAAACTAATTTGTCCAATTAGAACTAGGAGTAGTATCTTAACAAACAAATAAATAAGCTGGATGTGTACATATTGCTTATACTGGATCAAAGATTTGTAAGTAAAAAATAATGTTTCCTAATCATGAATATGTAGGGAAAAAAACCACAGGTAAGTATTTTTATGACTTTAGGTTGGAAATGGCTTTTCTAAACCTAACACAAAACAGAAACCTATGAAGACACAGATTAATTTGATTACATTAAAATTCCAAACTTTAGTGTGCCAGAAACAATCCCCTGTATCAAAAAAACTGAAAGACAAAAAAAGAGGAAAAATGCATGTAATGTATATAATAAATTATTAACTCCTGTAATATGAATTTCAAGTTTTTTTAGTAGTGTCCATCTATAGCAGGTGTTCAATAAATATTTGTTGAATGAGTAATGACCATAATCAATATTTTTAAAAATAGTAACTAAATGGATAAGGGGCAATAATACAATAATCCACCAAAAAAAAATTGGTAAGCATGTGAAAAGATGAGTTTTTGCCCAAAAATGTAAATTTATAGAATAAGATGTAATTTTTCACTTATTCTATTGGCAGAGATTAAAAAACAGTGACAACAGTTAGTGTTCAAATGTGGGCAAACTGACCACTTTCATATATTGTTTTTGGTTTTAACCATTAAAAAATTTACTCTATGCATGTTTTTCCATTGTAGTAGTTTTATAATGTATAAAAAACTAGAATCTACGTAACTGTTGTCTCTTACTATAAATTATAGTATATTCATACATGGTATGGAGGTTCCTCAAAAAACTAAAACTAGAACTACCATATATGACCCAGCAATCTGACTGCTGGGTATATATCCAAAGGAGGGGAATCCAGTATATCAAAAAGATATCTGCACTCCCATGTTTATTGCAGCACTATTCACAATAGTCAAGATTTGGAATCAACCCACGTGTCCATGCACAGATGAGTGGATAAAGAAATTGCAGTACATACACACAATGGCATATTAGTCACCAAAAAGAATGAAATCCTGCCATTTCCAACAACATGGATGGAACTGGAGAACACTATGTTAAGTGAAATAAGCCAAGCACAGAAAGACAAATCTTGCATGTTTTCATTCGTCTATGGGGGGAGCTAAATATTAAAAACAATTGATTTCATGGAGATAGAGAGTAGAATGATGGTTACCAAAGGCTGGGAAGAGTAGTGGGGAGGGGGGATAAGGTGGGGATGATTAATAGTACAAAAATATAGTTAGATAGAATAATATTTGATAGTATAACAAAATGATTATAATCAACAATAAGTTAGGGTATACTTTAAAATAACTAAAAGAGTGGAACTGGAGTGTTCCTAACCCAAAGAAATGATAAATGCCTGAGAGGATGGATTCCCCAATTACCCTGATTTGATTACTTCACATAGTATGCCTGTATCAAAACATCACATGTGCACTATAAAGATACAGAAATATTATATTCAGAATAAATAAAAATTTTAAAAAAGCAAACCCAAAAAACAAAAAATAAAATTATGTTAGGTGGCATTAGTACTATCAGAGGTATCAACTGTTTGGGCATACAGCAAATAAACATAAAAAATGTTAAATAACTCTAATAGAAAGTTTGTCTAATTAAGAATATAAATAAAGGGACAGTATTTCTCACCAGTAAAAAAAAAAAAAAAAAAAACCAAAACAATTATAGTATATTCATACAATGGTATATATTTTCCATTGACCTGAAAAAAGCAATAATATGCTTTTAACTGAAACACAGAAGGTATATAAAATTTTAGTGAAACATAGTGTATGTTTAGGAAAAACCTAGAGTATATAACGTATCATATATAGGGATTTCTTTCTTTCTTTCTTTCTTTCTTTTGAGACAGAGTCTCACTGTGTAGCCCCAGGTGGAGTGCAGTGGTGTCATCATAGCTCACTGCAACCTCAAACTCCTGGGCTCAGGTGATCCTCCTGCCTCAGCCTCTTGAGCAGCTGAGACTACAGGTGTGTCCCATAACATCTGGCTAATTTTTCTATTTTTAGTAGAGACAGGACTCTCTCTCTTGCTCAGGCTGATCTCGAACTCCTGAGCTCAAGCAGTCCTTCTGCCTCAGCCTCTTCTATAGTGATTTCTTTTGAAGGGCAGGACTCATACTTGGAAGGGAGGGGGAGGGAACCAACAGTGTACTTCTACTACATGTCAGGAACTTTGTGCTAAGTTTTTAAATATACATTATCATATTTAGTCACAATAGTTGAAAGGTTATTCTCTTTGTGCGTTTTTTAATAGATGAAGGTACAAAAACTCAGGTTAAGTTATTTGGCTTAAGGACACAGAATTGAAATTTGAACCTACCAGTTTGAGTGCCTGTCTTTTCAAGTTTTACTTCTGGTGAAAAAAAATGTCAAATTTTGGACATGCTGATTTTTGTGGAAGTCTATACTTCGAATTATACCTGCCTAAGAGTTTTCCTTACTTCCCTCCTACAAAGGACTAGTAATTATTACTATTATAGATCCAAGTAACTTCGCAAAAGTCTCTTCCCGAAAATACAGAAAAATTGCCCCAAGTTACAACGTCCCTTGGCTGACTGGAGACAATTAACATCCTGAATTAAGTTCATCACTATTTCAGGTAGCCTTTAGGTTCCATGGAACATATATCCTACGAAGACAGGGAGGGAAAAAAATAAGGGGCTAGAGCACTATATACAGCTCGGCCATCTGCCACCTATGGACAAGGAGCTGTTTGGCTTATTACAACTATAATCTTGTCCATGCTGCTTTCACAGTCCACAATCACTTGGATGAATGTTCTAGTTAGCATGGTGACATTTTAAGATTTAGAATATTAACCTGTAAATCTGTCATTTGATTCTTAATCATTAATGTCTGGATTGCCTGTGGCAGGTGTTTAATTCCAGGTTGGCATTAAACATATTTGATTTCGACAATCAATGTATATTTTGAGAATGAAAGGCTATTTCTAGAAAATATTACATAATTATCTTATATCAAATAAAAATTTGCTATTTTTGGAAAACCCTCACCATCCCTCACCCAATGAAGATCTTATGCTTACCTTCACTGGAAGGTTTAAGATGTGACAATCTTAACAGATCTTTGTGAGACCAGCCATTTCTTTGTTTATATTTTGTAACTGCCAGAGCAAGGGCCATGCCGCCTTTCTCATTGTACCAGTCTGCTATAGCTTTCCGGAGGGCGCGACCCCACATGCCACATTTCATGCTTTCTTTCAGATCTTTCTTAAACTGGATAAAAGTAAAGAGATGGGTAGGAATGCGACAAACTTCAGAAACAGCTTTAAATGCTGCTTGTTTTGTGCTTATGTCAGAGCACTGGGAACAAACGGCAAGTGCAAAGAGCATAGGCTCTTGTTTTGTGGTTCTGCCTTCTTGACTAAACGACTTTATTTCCTGTATCACTTCACATCCTCTGCCATCTTCGATCAATCTAATTAAAGCTTCAGCATTTTCAAGGCCCAACTTCTGTTCTTTGATATAATAAGTCCCACCTTCGGAACCAAAACACAAGAACCGGTGTAGTCGATTCATGTCAGTGACTTGCCAGACATATCCATCTTCAGAATTGGCTATCTGCTTCTCATTCAGTGGTTGCATTTGGTTTACAGATTCCTCCATTTTTTTCTGTCTTTTAGGAAACCTATCAAAAAGGCAAAATGTTACTACAACTAGATGGGCACAATAAAATTACAGAAAACAATATTTATTAATCTATGCTTATTAATATGAGTTATGAACTTCCAATTTAAAAATATCTCTTAAGCTGATTAAGTTTTTCTCTTTGTGCAAAATCAATATAAAAGTCCTGAAGAAAAATTAGAAAAGGCAGAAAATGAAAGAAAAAAACCACATCTGCCCTCCTAGAAATGACTACTGGTAATATCTTAAGTTTTTAAAGCGTTTTTTTGTTTTGTATATATTTTCACAATCTAAGAAAACTCAGAATCCTTGAAAGCAAACAATTAAGCCAGATTATAGGCACAGTGGTATGATAATCAGAAGCAACAACTAAGGAGTCACATTTTTGTGGTATAGTGTGTTGCTTCAGAGATTAAGCAGGTAGTTCAGTGTGGTGTCTTGAGGAATAGATAGAGAAGAATAAAAGGGGGAGGGAAGGAGCAACAGTAGCTGACACTAAGAAAGATCTTACTCCCTGAAGAACTGTGTAGACTTGGTTGACTATCCAACATCCATTCCTTCCCCTTCTTCCTTTTCCTCTTCTTGGTCCCCTGTCCTTCACAGGAGGTTAGGCCTTTCCCTAGCTCCAAGGGGTGAATCTTGACTGCTCTAAGTCAGTGGTTCTCAAACTCTGTATCGGAAGTACTAGTTAAAACACAGACTGATGGGTCACCACCGGCACATCCCTCCCTTCCCTCCACACCCCCCGCCAAGTTTCTTTCATAATTCAGTAGGTTTGGGGTGAGGCCTAAGCGTGTATACTTATCACATTTCCAGGTGACGCTGCTGATCTGAACCCAGGCCCAATCACACTGTTCTCCTTTCCCTTGCCACATGACTAGTGTAGGCAATTGAGCATGTGACATGACTGTGACCAGTATGGTAAGTCAGCTAGGAATACTTTTGAAATCTTCTGCATTCTTAAAAGGGGGTTCTGGCTCTTTCAAAGGAACGTTCTCTTTTCTGCCTTGAGACATTTTCATTTGCAACTGAGGCTGGAGTGGTGACAGCCATATTGAGACCTTGAGGGGAGCCAGTTTAAGAGGACACACTGATACATAATGACAACGGAACAGAAAAAACAGAAGGAACCTGCGTCCCTGATATCATCAAGATACCTGAAACTCTCCTACTTACAAGTTTCCTGTTATGTCATAAACGTATCTTTATTGTTCAAGCCATTTTTAGATTTTCTGCTACCTGTAGTTGAGCATATCCTGATTAATATGCTATCAATTGTGCTTGCTTATAGTTTAGCTCATCTGTAATTATCCTCAATTTCCTCCTTCCATTATCTCTAAAACTACTAGAACTAGCCATCTGGCAACAATAACCCTCTCTATCCTCCCAACGGAGCAACCAGAATTGTCACTACTTCATCAGTCCACCAAGATTCTCGCTGTAGCAGAGCTGTTTATCCAGGTCTCTCTATCTGTCCAATACTATTATAGTGCACTGGGCTTCTGTCTGCCTGTGGCAAAAAACAAAAACAAAAATAAAAACAAAAAACACAACTAACAAAAAACCTCAACCAGCATTTATTGAATACATACTATGTGTAGGATATGAAGGAGATTTATGATTCATTAAAAAGACCAAAAAAAATTTTGTTTTTCTGCTGTTAGGGAAGTCACATTCTTTTGGGGAGGCAGAATTAAAATGCAAACTGTAATTAAGTGCTATTGTAGAAAAATACTATGAGTAAGGGAGAATAAAATAATGTTGTCTCATAACTCAGAAAGACTTGTGCAGAAAAGGCAAACTAAAAAACTAGTAAGTTTGGGGGAGGCATTCTAGGAAGAGGTTTCTGAAATCCTGTTCTGTGTCTTTATATTCTAGAAAAGGAATTGCCTAAATGTACTGGCATAGCCATAAAGACATGTAGACAGATTAAGGTAGTAGCTTAAAGAGGAACACAGGGTCAAAGAAGTTTTGATGATAAAACCTACTTGAGCATGTTTATATACTGTGAGGAATTCTAAAGATGGAATCCTGGTGAATATTAACAATTGAGAGCTAAGGAAGGACGGGTGCTTTAAAGTAGACAGAAAAGGAGGCAACAGACTTAAAGAAAACCAGGAGAGAGTGGTATCATGGACCACAAGGAAGAGAATTTTAAGGAGTGAATGGCTGGTGATGTCAAATGGTCACAGATCAGGTAAATAAAGTAAGGGTTGGAAACCAACCATTGGAATTAGTGAACATGAGTGACTAGGAAAAGCAACTGCAGTAGAGTGGTACAAATAGTATCATGATTACAGTGAAATAAGGAGGGTATGCAATGAGCAGGAGACTTCACAGGTAGACGACTCTTTTGTAGAAGCATAGCTATACATAAACTGTGAGGAAAGGTCAGAGTATGGGATCCAGAGAAAAACTTCTTTACTTTCTTTCAGTGAGAGAACACTGAAGTTGAGTTTGAAAGATTCAATTTGGAGAGCTGAAGACAGTGGAGATAGGGCATAACTGAGGGAGTGAGAGTCCCAAAAGAAGTCAAACAATGAGCTTAGAGCATCCAGGTTGAAACTGGCCTACTAACATCGAGATACCTTCTTCACCCTTCAACGAGGGTAAAGGGTATGGGTGAAGACAGAGATCTGAGTGAGGGATAAGTAAATTGAGGAAGTTCCCATCTGACAGAGACGTAAAGTCCCAAACGGTAGATATGGGAGTGATGAAAGATGGGGTCTCAGAGGGAACACATAATGGTGTGGGGATAAGTGCATGGGAGAATGGAGAGTCTGACATTTTGTATGTGACTAAGGGGGACAGAGATTTGAACTGTGTTAGAAATATTAGTGTCAATATTCCAAATAAAAAGCTAGTATAAATTTGCTTATGTTAGTGAAGGAATAGGCCTCAGGTTGTATCAGAAATGTAATAATCACATTAGTCATTAGGGATGTATTTATAGTTACCGAGTACAGCATAGGCTGGAACTCCTGGTACAGTGGATGCCTCTTCTATTTATTCTTATCCTCTTTTCAATTTGGCTTTCACCTCTGCCTTTCAATCCAAAGAACTCTGAGAAGATTAATAGGCTTCTCAAAGACTGACATCTTAACTGTCAATTCCAGTAAAAAATTTTATCTTATTTGATCTTTACATTGCATTAGACACTGCTAGCCTCTCCCTTAGCTTTTACAAAAACAGTCTCGGGTGGTACTTCAACCTCTCTATTCCATCTTATTAGTTATATTTATTAGATGAATAACATTGAAATGACATTTAATACTAGGTTATTCCTCTACACCTGCTTTCCTGCACAAAGGCCCAAGCGGGGGGACTGAAAGGTCCCCATCCAAACCTCAAAGTTCTCTTTCCTCAAACTCTTTTCCTTGTATTATTCGTTGTTACTATGCCTAGCTATATCATTAGTTCCCTTGACAACAGGGATCGGGTCTTATTTTTGTATCCCTCTTTGTACTGCTTTTAAGTTATTAATAATAAATACATATTTAATGAAAATTAAATAGTATCGAAGTTGACTTCCTAAGCCATTTGCCTAAGAATTATACATGATGGGTTTTTCTTTCCTAGAACATGTTTATTTTGAAAATAAAATCTCAACATCTGTAATGAAAAATTTAATATAAGCCTTTAAGATAAATTCTGTAATCAGAAAAAAATAATAAACATACATATGCAGGTAATGGAAATATAATCAGAAAAAAAGAAAAAGTTATGCAGAAAAGTAATGAGTACTGAGTAAAACTGTCATCTGAGAACAATTTCTTTGTAAATTTTTCTTATATATTTAATATTAGGTATTCAAGTATCTTTTCTAGAGCAAGCAGCAAAATGAACTTTTAAATCTAGGAAGGATGTCCTGAGAGGTAATCCCTAAATGTAATCCTTATAATCCCTATTATAAGAAATGAAGTTAGTTACTTATTCATAGCTGTATCAATCTAATCTTCCCTATGCATATTATCATATTAATGACAACCATGAAGACATACGCTTTCAATATTTCTGCAGCAGAACTACTTAGATTTTCATATGGTTCTGTGACTATACTTTCCAAAGTGCAATATCAAACAGTGGAAAAGAAGGTCACATTATAAATAGCCAGGGCACCTCTCTACCTGCTTGTGTAAATTTGTCAGGGTCAAATTTTTAAAGTGAGAGATGGAAAACAGAATGGCAGCATGCCCCAAGCTAGGTTCTAGTAACCCCCACCCCTTCCCCTTTGTTCCCACAACCCTGCAGGTGGGTTGGGGTAGGGGAGTGGGGGTTGGGGTGGGGAAGTAGGTAGCTTCCCGAATTTATTACTTAGTGTCTCCTTTGTGCCTTTGCAACCTCTGGATAACCAATTCCCTCCATTTAAAAATACCTAGAGTGATTTCTCTTTCTTGTCATTGAGTGCTGATATACAAATTAACTTTAAAATTGGCTAGGTAGCCCGGCTAGCTCAGTCGATAGAACATGAGAGTCTTAGAATTGGCTAGGTGACATAAGTAGAATACAGAATATCTGGTCTTTATACAGGGTTCTTGGGTAGAGTTTAAAAAACGCTTGGAATTTCCTAAGTGACTGTTGTGCTAATGAGGTGACTCACTGTAGGACCCTAGATAGGTACAGGATGGAGGCTAGTCACCAGAAAGACCAAAACTATGTGATTAGAGGAATAAACTGGCTAGACCAACCTCCTAGGAAGGGAAGGGGGCTTAAGATTTAATCAGTCTTGCCCATGTAATGAAACTCCATGTAAAAACTCTGTTCATTGATGCTCAATGGAGCTTCCTCCTTGGTTAACAAACTGATGTGCCTGGATTTGCCCCTGGACCTTGCCCTATGTGTCTCTTCCATTTGGCTGTTCATGAGTTGTATCCTTTATAACGCAACTGTAATCAAAAGGATAGCACTTTCAGTGAGTGAGTTATGCGAGTCATTCAACTGAATTATTAATCTTGAGGGGGTTATGGGAAGCTGGAATTTGTAGTTGGCAGGGCAGAAGTGTGGGTAGTCTGGGAACACAACTTGCAGTTGGTGTCTGAATTAAGGCCAGTCTTATTGGACACTTTGCCCTTTAACTTGTGGGATCTGATACTAACTCTGGGTAGTTACTGTCAGAATTAAACTGAATTGTAGGACACCCAGCTGGTGTTGAAACACAGACAGACGGAAGGCACAAGTGACACAATAAAAAATAAACTATATTTTATCAAAATTTAAAACTTGTGATTCAAAAGACACCACCAAGAAAGTGAAAAGACAACCCATGTAATAGAGAAAATATTTGCA